AATAAAATTTGATAAAGAAGGTATCAGGAAGTGGACATCAAACCTTCTATGTACAGCTTCTGATGTGTTTGGAGCTGGTTTTTTTATCAATTGGTGACTGGTGTGAAGTTACGAGGGCAATGGTTGTAGTGCTACATGTATAGTGTGGTGTGCTCAAGGCGGATACTCATGTTACGTCTTTGTCAATTGTTTAGCGTACATGTATAGATTCTGTTTTTATAAAGTATTGAAAATATGTAAGTGTGTATTAGACTTTTGTGAGATCGAGTGTGATAGTAGTGCTATCTTCTCTTAAAAATAGCATATATGTGTAACACATTTCGTTGGGCTTTTGTATACAAACTTGTCCCTACACAGCTCAGTATCATATCTCCCTTTGATATAACAAACAACAGTGTTAGAAAACGGTTAAAAAATCCTAACCTAGTAACGCTGCTGGAACAGATGAAATGAAACGAGAAATATTAAAGAACTGGCGGAAGAAATATCACCAAATCTTACTCTGATATTAAAACAAATATCTTTCCGCTGTTTAAGTCCCACTTGACTGAAAATATGCACATGTATCTCCTTTTTACCTAACAGGCATAAAATCATACGCTTTGTATCGATAGGCGAAACGTCCCGGGTGAGCGACATAGGAAATAAACAAGTTTTTGACATCGTTGTACAGGTAAACAATACAAATAGCACACTCAGTAGTAGCTTGACAAAGTGACCAGTCGCTCTTGAAACGTTACGACACGTTTCATACGTACATTGTTTGTGTATCAAGTAAAACTTTAATGTTTATCTAAAAAAAACGATTACAAAATAATAAGTTTTCATTTTGATGTTGATCACTGATATTTTCCTGACCGTAACAGAAATATTGTTTAGTTATTCAGGAAACTAAAAGTATTTTTTTTTGGTATATTTGCTTTTACTGTGTCCTATTTCGAGCTAAAACAAGTTTATTTAGCGTGCGATGACATAGCTGATAACGCTGCAAATATATAACGAGAAACAATCCGAGGTCAAAATATGGACGTGTCAGGTGACAGGCGAATTTCGATTGTTAGGACGGAGAATACTAGCTGGCCAAGATTATGTAATTAAGAAAATCAATGCCATCATTTTTATCGTGTTTCTTGTAATTTCTTACTCTAACTAACATCTGGACACTCTGTAGAAAATATATTGTTCGAATGTAGCACGATATATGTTATTACCTGTAACGTGTGTACGTTTGTTTAGTGTATACAGTGTGGCGATAACCTAATTACACACCACACATTATTGTTTAAAGAGATTCGTTCCAAATTTTTTACTTCAATGATGTTTTACTTATTCCTGTAAGAGATTCGTAAAATAAATGTATCGATTCAAAGCATTTGCTTCTGTAGAATTCTTCTATTCGGTACTTGTGTATTTGAAATCATTATTTTCTAACCCAGTCACACCATGAATTTTGCTGATAAGCTAAATATTCTGTAGCCTCTGCGACATTGATTTCGTCCCTGTGAAAGCCAATCAATCAAATGTATCGTTGATGTTACTTCTAGAATAGACAAGGGAAACAGAGATGTACTGGTTGTTGAATTTTTTTTAAACTTTTGATAAGTTTAATCATTCCCTTCTCCACGACAAGCTCAGCTATCATGGTATAAGTGAATCTGTAAATAGTTGGCGTGAAGATCCACTCCATGACAGAAAACGGGCAGTCGTTGATGAGGGAAAGAAATCGGAGCCCCTGACTGTCAAATCTAGAGTCCCCCGAGGGTCAGGTATTAGACCTTGTTTATTTGTTTTCTACTTCAATAAAGTTCCAATTGGCCTAACCTCTGCTGCGAGACTTCTCACTAATAATACTCTTGTTTATCAAACTGTGATTGACGAGGCTGATGGGGGAAAAAACAGGAGGACCCAGATTTATGGTAAATATCAAGGAAAATAGCTTGGCACACTACAGTTGTAGTGTAATATCCATAACGACAATGTAAAGCAATTCCATATACCCTGCACGGAAAAATTACAACATGTCCCAAAATCAAAATATATAGCAATCACCATCCATTTAAGTCTGAAATTGGACACTCATTAAAAAAAGATAAAGTAAATTCTACATAGGCTTCTAGCGGATAAATCTAGAAATAGGCTCAACAGCACTAAATCAGCAGGCGTACAAAACCAACGTTAGACCATTATTGGAGTATGGCTGTACAATTTGGGACCTCACATTTATTATGACAAATCAAAATTGAAATGGTACAGCGTAGGGTAGCCCGAGTTGTTACAAATATACACTGTAACAGGTCAGGTGAAGGGGAAATGCTTAAACAACTAGACTGGCATCACTGGAAGACAGTCAAACAGATATGAGACTAGAAACTTTTAACAAATTCAGTCATGGCCAAATCAGTGCGAGAAAAACTTCATTAGTAAATTCTATTCGTTTCATCAGAAATCTCAACCAAATTCCGTTCATACAGAAATTTTTAGTCTCACGAACTATATTAGACTGGAATGACCTCTCAATTGACAACACCTTTGCAACATCCTCGCCATCCTTCAAAACTATGCTCTTAAAAATATCTAACAGAGCAGCTTTGAACTTTTAATCAGTCCACTATTCCCTCTTTCTTCTTCCATCTTCCCCTAGCTTGTGCCGAGGACTAAGTAAATCTCGTATGTTGGGGTTGCCCAAACACTTGAAGATTTTCTTCCTTCTCCAACACTATGCTATGTCTCAATTTAGTGCTGTCGGACGGTCTGTCAGTACACTCTTTTCTGCAAATCCCCCTACCCCAATTCATCTCTTATCTAAATAGTTATTATGTGTGTATTTTATGCTCTCTCTCCCATGACAGAATCTTCACCTTGTTGAATGTGGTCATTAACCATTAGAACTAGAACTAAACAAAATGTTTTCCTTTTGATATTCTAATAGAAACCGGCTTCACAAATTGTTTTTATTTTATCCTGGAACTGCATGAGCGGACACCATTTTTTCATTTGTCACCAAAGAGCAACTTGGTTGTAATTAACAATAGACTAAAGTTAATAATATCTTCAATAAGATTCATCAGCTTGGAAATATAATATCAAATTTTACTTTATACATAAACAATGTAGGTAATAATTGTGTCGTACGTTTCATGACCGACTGTTCTCTTTGTCAAGTTATGACTATGTGAGCGATTTTTAGTATTTACCTGTATGACGATGTGCCGAAATTGTATATTTCTTATGTCACTCGACCCGGGACGTAAACACAATATCGAGTAGTGTTGGAGGACCAACAGAGATGCTCTCAACCGTGGTGGCTATCCCGGCTGGTCAATTTACAAAGTGTACGGGGCAGTAAAAGAAAAGATAAAAAACAGAAATAAAAAAACAGGAACAGAAGAAAAGAAATGAGAGCCAAACCAAATGGGAAGGCGGGGTCACAATACCCTACGTGAAGCGTACACCTGAGGCGTTTGCTAAATTGTTAGCAGTCATATCTAGGAAAAAAATGGGAGGAACTTTGATTCACGTCTGAAAGAACATTAAAATGATGCAGAGAAAATTAGCAACACCAATTTTATCAGAACCACACACAAAGCATCTGCCACTCAGTACAATATATCGGCATTAACAGATCACGCTTACACCCAAAATCACCTCTTCGATTGGGACCATGCCAAAAATAGTTGAAAGGGAACAACAACAAAAAGGTGGCAAATAAAGGAAGCAATCAAAATCAGGAAAGCTAAAAGCATGAATAGAGACGAGAGGTACACTAGCTAAATCATCTGTATAACAGATACTGACATAAAGTACAATTTTGATAATTATCAAATCTTTTGGGGTTTTTTACGAATAATACTTTATTATTTTAATGCTGGATCACCGATATTTTCCTGACCGTAACAGAAATATTTTTTAGGTATTCAAAAAAATGTTTATGTTTTGTTTGGATATATATATGCTTTTAATGCGTCCTATTTCGAGCTAAAACATCCTTTATTTAGCGTGCGATGACATAGCTGATAATGCTTCAAATATATAACGAGAAACGTACCGATGTCAAAATACAGTTGTGTCCGGTGACAGGCGATAACTTATCTGCGCATCACATGTTATTATTTAAAGCTATTCTCTCCACATTATTTACCGCAATAAGGTGTTACTTATATTTGTAAGAGATTCGTAAAATAAATGTAATGATTCAAGGCAGTTGTTTCTGTCAAATTCTTCTATTCAGTTCTTATGTATTTGAGATCATTTTTTTTTCTGATCCAGTCTTTTGATTGGTTAACCAAAAAGTTCTTTGAAATTAAACGCTGGGACATATTTGACCATGCGTCTAAAATCGTTAAAGAACAAATATAATTGCACAGTAGATGGTGATAAAAAAACTAAAGAGCCCGATATCCTTACAATTTGATTCCAAATACTTCATACAAAATGCAGTAATATAAATAGATATTAACTATCCTTTTCTATTATGCAATATGGACCCGCTACCAGTAACAAAACGTCAGGATATGAGTTTGAAGAATACTTAAACGCACTGAAATGATCTAATATGAATAACTCTCCGTGAACAGCAACAAACTCACAAAAAAATCTTTTTACAGAAATTTCGTAATGATAATAGATAGCATTTACTTTTTAAAACCTGGTCGTATATGTTAAGTTAATTTAAATATATCATAGCGTAAATATTAACCATGAAAAATAAACTGTCCGTTTAAAATGTGACCAACCAAGCAATTATTTATATCTTCAAATTCACAATATACATTTTTGTTGGAATGTTCGGTTATTGATATTTTTCTGACTGAAAACTTCTTTCAATATTTCAAATTTACTCGTTTGATATATTTGCCTTTAAAAATGCGCCAAAGTGAGAGCTCAAATCGCCAGATTAAGTGCAGATAATCATACGCAATCTTTGGACTTTGGAATGATCTGATAATACACCGAAATGCTATAAATACGTGTACGTCAGGCGGAAGTCTCAAAAACACAAATGATGATCGAACAATATCACAAGTCGGTGAGTACATCAACAAAATCATATTAATTTTATAATATTCAGGGTACTATTTTACTCTTTTACTAAAACATTAACATTTCAGTAATCACGCAGTGCGATTCGATATCTACTTTTTACTTCACACAAGTGCGGATTAAATAATACGGTATAGGTATGTTGCGTATGTACCTGCTTAAGCATATACAGGTGTTGCGAGTAGTGATATGCGCATCACACGTTCATGTTTCAAGTGATTCTGTCATAATTATTCATTTAAATTAAATTTGTGTTTGTATTAAATTCTTAGATTACATGAGGATGTGAATTTAAAGAGTAACATAACGCATTGAGGTCGCCTAGTATGATTTCCTCTCTGTAAATGTATTGTATATGTTAAATTCACAACAGTATATGTGTGATTAAAATCCTTTACATCAACTTTTGTAACAGCTGTCGAGCATGACATTGGATGCTACGTATGTTTGCTTACTTAGCAGTTTATGTTATGCTTATTTTGCTTTATTATAGCATAAATATAAGCCATATACAAACTGTAGTTTGGCTTTAATATGTTCAACGTCCTATTAATAGCTAGGGTCGTATATAAATAAACTGTTAAGTTTAAAAAATATAGGCACCAAACACAAAGCAATAGTTTCTATGTAACAAGAGGCCCAGAGGGCCTGTATCGCTCACCTGGATAATAAAGCAACCATGGGAAATTATTCTCATTACAAAAGATCCCTCCAGTGGTACTGAATCAGAAGGATTTTTAAGATATAAACTTTAAATTCCCCTATTGAGCCCCACAACTCTCAACACCCAGAGAGGCCACACCCTCTGTTTGTATAAAATGTAGTCCCCTTTGCTAAAGGATACTCCAGGCCAAGTTTGGATAAAATTCTACCAATGTTACAAAAGAAGGATTTGATCCCTGCCCCTCAAGCCCAAAGGGTCCACACTCACCATTTATACAAAATTGAGTCTCCATGGCCATAAACGATTTATTGTAAATAGTTAGATAGGAACAATAATTACAATAAGTTTAAATACTAATCCTAATGAATGACGGTAGCGACTAAACAACGACTGATCTGGGTACATGTTGACTAAATAAGATGATCTGATCACACGGGCTTTTTGAACAATGTTTACTTGCCGAAATATACACAATTGAAGTTCCAATCTAATCCGCCTTGCTACTTCCAGTCGCCATTTTGTAAACAGAACCTTATCTCGAGCTGATGCGCGTTTGAATAGTTTGAAGTATTGCATGCTTCTAAACGATCATGCCCAAACTACTCTCTAAGGATGATGTTTTAGATAAAGGGCCTGTTTCCAGTAATGTTAATTCTCCATAGGAGCCTGCCCCCGTATAATTTCTTATCTAGCTCAACTACTGTTTTTTTCTTTTCCGAAGAATAATTTTACACCTTTCCGACACCCAGATTTCATAATTTCAGTGAAAATGTATTTTTATAAAGTTGTCAATTTCAGCATCAAAGACATAAGTTCGTAAATAAAAGAAGGTTATCTCGAAATTGTAATTCGCAACATAGTATAAATTTCTTTTGATAAATATTTCCAAAACATCGTGTTTATTCATAAAACA